TTGTATTTTTTATAATAAAGAATCACTTCAAGACTTTTAAAGAGGTTTTCCGCTTGAGGATTTGTAACGCGATCACATGTGGCTCTTATAAAACATTTCAAGGATTTAGAAAAGTGTCCTTAACTGAAGAATCACTGTATGCTGTGTACAGTAGTCTTTAATTCATACAATCACAGCACTGAAATATTAAACAGCTGATATCCGATTATTGTAAAATGCTTAAATATCGGGAATAATATCGGTAAATCGATATATCGGTCGATCTCTAGTGTATAATTCTCGATTACAGTGAATACAGAAAAATAAATAACTCGTACTAGAAACGGTGCAGAAATCACACTTTAAATTACCAGTTGTTTTCATTTTTATGTAAAAAAAAAAATAAAAAATTATAAAAGAACTTTAAAACTATAGAGAATACTGAAGGCAAAAGAATGAAAAAGCACTTTATTTTAGTGTCTTGGTTACATGTTGCATGCACTTACTATAGTAATAACAGTAAATGATGCATAATAACATGCAGCTAACCATAAACCAAACCATAATCCTGACTCTGTAGTAAGTGCATGTTGTTAAATGTATAATTACGCTGTAACAAGGACACCTTAAAGTGTAACCATATATTTTTATCCCATTTATTTGCGGGCAAAATTCTCTATTACATGCATTAATACAAGCAAAATAATCAGATTAATCTGCAGATAAATCCAGATTCAATGTCCACTAAAACTTCCAAAACTTTAATGTCTGTAAATTTGGCTTTCTGTGTGTTGTATTGTGGGTTGTATTATTGTGTGTGTGTGATTGTGATTGTGTTGTGCCTCAGGGCTCTGACGTGTCCGAGGCCGATCCTGCCGCTCTGCTCGACAGCATGAAGGTGAATCAAGATGCTGCTGCTGCTTTCTGATTGGCTGAAATATGAGATGACATCATTCTGATTTTGTTCGTTCCGCTTTCACAACGAAACACACAGCGCCTTCACGATATGGCGGCGGCAGCAACAATACTACAGCGAGAATAAAAGTTACGCCTTCTTTCTTTGCGTGAACATTTGGGTGGCGTTATGCAAATCTTCCCACATAGTGAGGTAGATATGTGGGGGCGTGTTAGAACGAGCCGTTTTAGGTAGGTGTGGCTGACTCTTAACTTTTATAACGATTATCTCTTTGAATTTGAGACTTTAGTCTTTGCAACTTTACAGATCTTCTTTATGCACCAAGAGCTTGTAACACTCCAAAGAGAAAGGAAAAACTGAAATCGCATCATATGACCCCTTTAACTCTTTCCCCGCCATTGATGAGTTATCTCGTCTTTTAGGAGTAAACGCTTCCCCACCAAAGACAAGATTTTACGGCTTTTACGCATCTTCCGAATGAAAACCGTGAAGCTGATAGAAACATCTACTGCATCTATGCTTTGATCATCATTCTGAATATGATCCAGATGTAGTCTTTGATAAAAACGTGATTTTCTCAGCTTTTTGCTCAAAATGTTGCTTTTTTATGAAACTTACATTCAATTGTTGATGAAAAGAATGCTTTAAGCTAGAATAAAACAGATTGTTTTGTTTAAAAGTAGAAGCTCTGTTCTTTATTTTTATGTATTGTATGTTCAGATATTTATAAATGTATAAAATATTCTGGGGGCCATGAAAATTTAGTGAAAATGATCAAAAACGCTGACGGTGGCTGGCAACCTTTTTCAAAACGCTGGCGGGGAAATAGTTAATATATTTATAATATTTTAAAAAATATAATAAATTAGTGCATATTAGTAAAAATATCAGCATCAGCATCTTGGTAATAAGTTGTAGTACTCTGACTTAATGCACTGGCAGCTTTGTTTCCTTTCTAAACGCAAAGTTTTATATCCCAATATATATTAATTTAGCTTGAGGTGGCATAATGCAATTTATTATCATTTTAAGACAAAAATGTGTAAAATCTTGCAGAAATGAACTTCAGAAGTGGAAAAGGCACCATGTACTGAATGAAGCTGAAGTGTTTTCTGATTGTTTGGATTATTCGTAGAGAACTATGACACTGAACCTGATATACAGTATGATTTCTGAATCTCTGTCCTCTGCGATCAGTGATGCTCCTCTGAGAGCTCGCACACGACTGGATGAGATCTTGGGCCGAGGGACGTCTCCTCGTCTGCTAGAGAGACCCGTCACGGGAGAGAAGAGAGACACGACACAGACGGAGAAACTGCCGGAGAAGAGCTCAGCTGGAAAAGGTGACACAATCACAACTGATGCTCACCTACCAAAGCAGATTACTGTGACTCGAATGATACGAGAAAGACTCAACAATTGCAATGTCATTTAAGTTATAGATCATATAGCTATGTAGAGCCTGGCGCTTGCAACAGGAAGTCATAGGTTTGATTCCCAGGGTATATACGCATAAACTGGTAATCTTGAATGCAGTGCCAGTCTCTTTGGATAAAAGCATCTGTCAAATGCATAAATGAACATGAAGCTCTTGAAATCAGTGAATAATCACAATCCGCTGGTCCTGCTCTCTCTGTAGCCTCTCTGATGGATGAGGAGGACTTCACGTTCGGCTCCTATCAGCCCACCATGGGTTCGACTCCAGAGGGCCGTCAGTCCCGCAGACAGTCTGTCAGGTGAGACACGTTAATGTACAGGACTACATACACAACAGAAGCTTTTAATGTCTAAACAATAATACAGTCTGATTACAAACACAGGTTCACGAAATTATCTGAAAAACAAAAAAAGACATAAAATGCAAGATCTCAACTTCCTACAATTATTTCATGTCTACCCATTAACTCAATACAACTAGATGTACACAAAATTTTACATAATATTTACTCAAAATGTACTGAAATATTCAAAAACAACAAAATAATGCTATCTGTAGATTTTATCCAAAATAAATAAACAGTACATTTTACATGAATACAGTACAAATTAATAGTTTTTTACTGTATTATTGTGAATTAACCTTTTTATACAATAATTTAAAAAGACATTAAAATCAATTAATACAAGAAAAAAAATTACCATATTGTAGGAATACTTGAATAACTGATGAAAAATTTTATTTTTATATTCTTTCCATCATTTTTCCATTAACTAATGCAAGATGTCAACTTCCTACACAATATGCACAGAAAATGTATTCTTTTACACAACATTTAATGAAAATTCACTAAAATATTTAAAAAAATAAACAAAAATATAAATAACAATGCAATCTGTAAATTTTATCCTAATAAAAATGCAGTAAAATTAAACATTTTTACTGTATTAATACAAAATACTTTTAATATAATTACAATTTAATCAGTTCAAATCAATTAATTAAAAAGTACGATAATGCATGAATACTCCACAATTAAACGTAAAATATTGTTACTTTTTCATTTTTTAATTACTAAAATGCAAGATGTCAACTTCTTAAAATTATTTAATGTCTACCAATTAACACAATACAACAAAATGTATGCAAAGTTTATTATTATTTTTTACACAATATTTACTCAAAATTCATAAAAATTTTCAAAGACAACAATTAACAACAACGCCATCAGTAGATTTTATCCTAATAATAATGCGGCAAAAATAAATCGTTTTTACTGTATTCATTAAAAAACTGTTTAACTATATATTTATATAACTATATAGAGTTTGATTAAATCTAACTCTGTGTTGCTCTGTATGGTGTCAGATTCTCAACTGAAGACGTGAGCGTTCACTCACCCGAACACAAACCCAAACCCTCCACACGCGCCACCCGGCCCAGATCAGACTGGCTCGGCCTGAAGCAGGACGAAGAGGAGCAAAAGATGAAGGAGGAACCCAAACATTCAGAACCAGAGACCCTGAAGCCTCCGGCATCACCGTCCACAGCGGCCCGAAAAGAGACGCCCGCTTTAAAGACAGCAGATCCACCTGCTGCACCCTCGTCTCCTAAAACCATCTCAAAACCAGTGAAGAGAGACGAGGACGAGGAAGACGACTGGCTCACCGGTGCTCTGAGCCGCAAGAAAACGCAGTCAGTGAGCCAATCAGAGGAGAGAGAGAGGAAACAGGACGTTTCATCAGGTCTGGGGGAGGAAGTGGACGGGTTTCTCAGGTGAGCGTTTGTAATGAATGTTGGGTGGGAATGGATCAGGATGCACGGAGACTTGCTCAAATGTGTGATGTGTTTGTAGCTCTAAATCAAACGTGTCTTCAGCCCCACGAAGACGACAGGACGAGTCTCCCGTCCCAAACACAGATCCCAGGTACAGTCAACACAGAGTCAGTCACTGCTATAAATGTGGTCATGTGATTTACACCGGACTAAATCAAGTGTGTGTGTGTTTTCCTGCAGAGAGTCTGCTGGCGTCTCCATCCAACACAACACGAGCTCAGAAACTCAACACAAAGCTGGTACAGTGAAACATCAAACATTCCACTCCTCTGGGGTTTCTAGTGACAGAAAATATCAGGGAGTTTTAAAATTGAGATTTCCATTTCTGAAATGTTTCATTGGGAATATAAATGTTAGGAATTTAGACATTTTGTAGTAATTTCATTGGCAAGAAACACAAGAAAACACAAAAGCACAAAAGAAGATATTTTGAAGAATGTGGGTAACCAAGCAGTTGACGGTAGCCATTGACTTCCACAGTATTTTTCCATACCATGGAAGTGAATGGCTGCCGTCAACTGTTTGGTTGGATTTTTTGGGTAAACTACCCCTTTAATCCATGTTAGATTTAGATGACCGGTTTTCAATCAGGAGGCCTCAAGAAGACTTAAAATTATTTAAAAGACGACAAAAAGCAATAAAATCATTGCATTTCAAAAGCATTTTTTTTGCCTTTGAAGAACCAAAATTCCCACTGTTTTGTAAAACCTGAATATATGAGGAAGCCTCATTTTAAAAGTGATTTGTAGACCTGGAAAAGTCATGGAAGTTAATCAAATCTAAAAATGCTATCATGAATTGTAATAGTTAATATACATTTTATAGTTGTTGCTTTTTCTTTTAAAGAAATTAAGTATTTTTTTTAAATCCCTATCTGCTAAATCGTGAATGACTGCTTAAGTCATGGGGCCTAAAAATATAGTTTTGGACTCAAAAGGGTTGAGAACCTCTGATTTAGCGGGATAGTTCACACATTTTCACAAACTCCTTTGTAAATGAGGACGTTTCTCTTTAAAAAGAAATCTGGAAAAGTCATGGAAAATCATCATAATAGCGATCTGTCGGCTCACACTCATTTCTTAGTTATTAGGTTAGTTTCCTCTCAAACACCATTGCAGCATCTCTTATCCATCAAACGCCCTAAAACAACCCTATAAAACAGACCTCATCCCTAAACAACACAATTCACTCCTTCACCTGTAATAACCCAGTCATCTGCTCAGAAATCCTTGCATCTCACAGGATGGGACGTCCAGACAGAGACGCCCCCCTTAAACCCCGTCCAGGGGTGGCATGTGCCCGCTGTAGCGCCCCCTGCAGTGTGGAGTAGGTGCTACTAGTGTAGAGCAGGAGTTTATCATGACTCATGAAAACATGAAAACACACAAATATTAAGGATTATATTGCATAAACGAAAACATATTCCATAGGACCATTAAGACTTTTTTCCACTGTGACATTTTCATAACAGTTAGTCACATTTAAACCCCAAATTCTCATTAAGGTGATGCATCTGGATTAATGAATGAATGGATTTTTTTAAAATTGTGGCTCATTACTGTATTAATGTAAAAATGAATTATAAAATTGTATTTAAAAAAAAAAAAATAAATAAAACCAACAAATTAATATTAAATTGTTTTATATTAATTTATTTTTTTAATTAAATTGAAATAGTAAAAGTAAAAAAAAAAGTATTAATAGTAGTAAATAGTAGTATTATTAAATAATAATAGTAATAATACCATGATGTATAAAAACATTTTCACATAAATGAGAATTGGTGAGCCTGCTCTTAACTGTCTTGCAAATAATGTTAATGTAAAACATCTTGTAGGTCCTAAAATGTGTAGATATGAATGTGATTTTAAAACTGCTGTTGGTTCAGTGTTTCCACAGAAGTCACCTGCAGATGACGCTGTACCTGCGACACAAACACACGCTTCTCTGTCTGCAGGTGGTCTACAGCAGCTACTCATACAGCAGCAGGTGACACACACACACAGATATAATACGAAACATGCTGTAAGGGTGATTAATGTAAACTAATGAAGGGTTGTGTGTGTGTGTGTGTGTGTGTAGCTGGCTCAGTCTCAGCTGTGGGGTCTCAGCGGCTCTCTGGACTCACAGAGACTCAGAGACACAGACCATCAGCATGACGTGAAATCACTGCAGAAACGCATCATTCAGCTGGAGGGACAGGTACAGTTACCTCAGACGTGCTGATTGTTCAAGAGACTCCAGCTGAATGCAGTAACTGAGCTTTCGTGCGTCTGTTCAGGTGAGGAGTTTACAGCTGGAGAGAGACCAGAATCAGATGCTGCTAGAGAGCATTCAACAGAGACACAAACAAGACACTGAGCTCATGGAGAACATGCACAGGTAACACACACATGCAGAGGTAACACAAACACTCACACACAGGTAACACGTGCACACGCACAGACACAGGTAACACACAAAGGTAATAAACAAGTAACACACACACACACACAGAGGTAACACACATGCAGGTAACACACACGTGCAGGTAACACAGAGAAGCAGCGGTAACACACAGGTAACACATGCAGAGAGGCAACAGTAGCACAAAGGTGACGCACACACTCACACACACACACACACACAGAGGCAGCGACAACACACAGGTAACACTGCAGCAGTAGCGACAACACACAGGTAACACACAGCGGCAGCGGTAACACACAGGTAACACACACACTGCAGCAGTGGTAACACAGAGGCAGCAGTAACAAAGGAAAGACACACAGCAGCGGTAACGCACACACACACACACACACACAGAGAAGCAGCGGTAACACACAGGTAACACATGCAGAGAGGCAGCAGTAGCACCACACACTGCAGCAGTGGTAACACAGAGGCAGCAGTAACAAAGGAAAGACACACAGCAGCGGTAACACACACACACACACAGAAGCAGCGGTAACGCACAGGTAACACACACACACACAGCATCGGTCACACACAAGTAACACACAGACAGTCTGGTTCACTATCCTTGTGGGGACTATCCATAGGCATAATGGTTTTTATACTGTACAAACTGTATTTTCTATCGCCCTACACCTAAACCTACCCCTCACAGAAAACTTTGTGCATTTTTACAATCTGAAAAAAACTAATTCTGTATGATTTATAAGCTTCTGTACCCATGGGGACCTGAATTTAGGTCTCCACAGTGACACAAGTCCCAATGAGTTGGTGTGTATTCAGGTTTAAGTACCCACCAGTATAGAAAAACATGTACACACACACACATCAGCGGTAACACACACACAGGTAACACAGGTAACACACACATACAGAGGCAGCGGGAACACACAGGTAACACACACAGCAGCAGTAGTGATAACACAGGTAACACACACACACACAACCCTGTAAGAGTGTCATTTGGTGTGATGACTGTGCTCTCGTCTCAGAGCTCGTGTGAAGTTGCTGGAGGAATCGGCCACTCAGCGAGAGCTGCGCTCACGGCAGGAGAACGAGGACCTGGCAGAGAGACTGGCTGCGGTCACACGTCTGGTGGAGCAGGAGAGAGCAGAGATGCAGGCGCAGCACCAGCGCAGACTCGCGCAGTGCCAGCAGGACAGAGACAGAGAGGTGGAGAGACTCAGAGACCTGCAGAGGTGATGCACACACTTTTAGCACAAAGTTGAGTCCTTCTTTAAAACGGGTACAGAAAAAAAGTAACAAACCCACCTGAGTGTAAAACAGGCTTGTGTCATTCACATGTGTCACAGGAAGTCCATCCTGGAGATGAAGAGAGATCATGAAGAACAGATCCTGCGTCTGAAGAAACTGAAGGATGAGGAGATCGACGCGGTGACCAGCGCCACGTCTCAGACCAGGTGCTGTACGTCACAGATGAGATGTCCGTCAGCGGTTTGAGCCAGATCTCATGGAGCTTCTGTGTGTGTGTGTTCAGGTCTCTGACGGTGGTCATCGAGCAGATGGAGCAGTTCTCCCGCAGGCTGGGCGATCTCTCGTCTCGAGTGGAGAGTTCGCATGAAAACACGGCGCAGGGACTGGAGATCGGAGCCAGACAGAGAGACGAACAGCTCAGAGGTACGAACACAAGAACAAACATCTCCAGATCTGTGCGGAACGGTTCAGCGGATCTGAATCTGTCATTCGCTGTCAGTTCTGCAGGAGCGTTTGAGCCAGCAGCAGCGTGAGATGGCCGAAGAGAGGTCACGGCTCAAGGAGGTCATCGCCAAGATGGACACACAGCTGGCCGAGCAGCAGAGACAGCTGGAGAAGGTCCAGAAACCCCTCTGAATCCACATGACATATTTAGTCTGAATATGGATAAAGCATTAAAATGAACATGTGAGACGTTTAACATGATGTTATGATGGTTTGGGGCTCATCTGTCTGTCTGTATGTGTGTGTGTGTGTCTCAGAGCGCTCTGCTGGAGGAGCAGCAGTCCGTCATGCAGCACTGTGCCGAAGAGCGCAGGAAACTGGCGGCCGACTGGAGCCGCTTTCACGCGCAGGAGAAACTGCGTCAAGAGCGCGCCGAGAGAGAAGCCAGCCGAGTCATGGAGAGAGACGCGCACAGAGAGGGGTCCATCATCAGCATGGCACAGGTCAACAATACAGGACAGGCCAAAATATGGATCTGTGTATCTGCATGCATTCATGCGTGGTGTTCCAAGTTTGTATCTTACTATTTTGAGTTAACATCTCAAATTAAAGCAAAATTTTGGTTCAGCAAAAATAGCTAAAAAATAAACAAATTAATATTCCCATATGTAATAAATAGATACATAAAATAGACAACTCACCACATTTCCCAAAAATTAAAAAAAATTAAAAAAATAAAAGAATAAAAAAAAAAAAAAGGAAAAGTATCACCATATAAAATGAATGATCCTCATCTCAATGCCAACATCTCGCTATTTATTTTCCTTTGTTTGTTTGTTACTAATCAGATTTTTTTCCTCCAAATGGAGTCTGTAACTGGCATTCTATGATTTAAAGTCAGAATTGCAACTTTGTATCTCGGAATGCAATTTAAATCTTAACATTCTGACAATTAAAGTCAGAATTTTAGTTGAAACTCACAATTCTAAGAAATAATGTTAGAATTCTGAGGAAAAAAAGTCTGAATTATATATTTTTAAGATATAATATTTTACATTCAAGCGTTTATATTAATAAGAAACTTATTTTACAAAATAATTAAATATGACATTTCCAAGTGAAACAAATAAAGAAATTTAAGTAATATTCAACGAGAAAAGATGTAGGATGATTTATTATATAATATTTTAGTATTATTTATAATATACTGTTATAGTATTTATTAGTATTTTGAATTAGCTTGTATTTTCTTAGTTTTTGTTTATTTAATTTAAATGTATAATTATATTAAAAAAAATGTTTGTTACATTTATTTATAAACTAAATCGAAATTATTTTAAATTTGAGTAATTTTATAATGTGCTTTTTGCTATTTTTATTAGTTTTTAGTTTGTTTTTCATCAAATATTTATATTTTATTTCAGCTTTATTTTATTCAAATAAAGAAAACAATTTGAATAGTTTTAGTTAACAATAACAAGACTGCTAACTTTTAATACAAGATGAAGTAGTTTATGCATCAGGCTGCAGGTGGTCAGACGGGAGAAGTTGAAAAAGTAAGAGGTACTGGTGACTTCAGATGAGAAGGGAGGTTTTTTTAAGAGGCGGAGTGATTAAATCCCATTTCTCCTCGGTGATATTCAGGAGCAGGTGGATCTGAAGCTGCGCGCCGGAGAGCTGAAACAGAAGGAGGAAGCGCTGCTGAGAGAGAGAGACAGTCTGGAGAAACTGAGACAGGAGCTGGAGAGTGAGAAAGAGCGACTGAGCGCCGCAGCACTGAGACTCAAGACACGAGCGCAGGAGGTGGAGAGCTTCAGTAAGGTAAAACACTGCAGCAGATCTGTCTGTGGCGCTGATCATGTGACACTGAAGCGCTTCCTGTGTCACAGCTGGCGTCCGAGCGCTTTGAGGAGGGAGAGCGAGCGCTGAGAGAGTCCAGACAGGTGGAGGCCGAACATCAGACACGACTCCGCACCATCCACACACAGATGGAGAGACTACGACAACAGGAGCACAGCCTACAGCAGGTCTCTCTCTCTCTCTCTCTCTCTCTCACACACACACACACAGTCACACAGACAGACACGCACACAGACAGACACAGATACACACACAACACAGAATTTGGGGAAAATTAAAATGAAATTTGGGAGGACAAATAAAGCATTTTGTGGGATCCTGTTCTTGTTTTAAAAAAAAATTAAAATCTTGTTAAAATCTTGTCAAAAGTTTTGTGAAATTAACTGAAAGTGATTTCTGTTAAATAAAATTTCTCCTTTTGAAGTGGACTTTGAGCTTTGTAAATGTGCAGATCTTTTTTATGCTCAAATAGCAACATTACAGACTAACTAAAGTTGAAAAAGTGAAAAAGCATAATAGCACCCCTTTAATTAACCAATGAATCCAGAAAAAAATTTTAATGGAAAACACAGAATTTGGGGGGAAAATAAAACAGATGTCATAGAGCTGTATTATTGTTAAAGAGTTTAATAAATTATTTATTTGTTACATTTTAATGAATTTTAATTACAATTCATGCTTTTTGATGATTAACAAGTAATGAACCTTTAAAAGAAATCCACAAAAAAACTTGGAAAACAAAGAATTTAGGAAAATATAATTATGTTTTTATTAGATGATAAAAATGTATCATTCATTATCATTAATTAATCCATTAAATATCATTAATTACTCCAAATCAGAGTAGTATTTATAAAGGATGAGCACTGACCATCTCAGTTAGGGTAAAACATTACATTGAACAGATGAATTCATATTAAACAACTAATAAAATTAGAAAACACCCTAATTTAGTCAAAACACTGATGAACAGCAACATATTTCACTATATAAAAAAAAAGAATAATTCGAACATTATTTGATTCAAAAATACTGTGCAAACAAACTGATTCATTAAGATGAACCAGACTTCCCAAAACTACACACCGTCTGAGAGAGAAGATATGTTTGTGATTCTACACCACTATTACTGGTAAAGCTGCACTATAGTGACGTCACACCACTGAATGATGTAGTTGTTATCTAGTTAGTGTAACTCTGCTCATGTGATCTGCAGGAGCGTCTGAGGATGACCGATCATAACAGAGACATAGAGCGACTGAGACACACTCTTCCCGTCCATCCGGTGACGTCAGCGCCCCTCATCGCAGGTAATCTGTTCACTCAGACTCACCGCAGGCGTTCAGTGTGTCAGACAGCGCATCATGTGTATGTGTGTGTGTGTTTGTTAGATTTCTCTCCAGCGTTGGCCAGCACACACCTGACCGCCGCTGTGAACCCGCTGCCCGCTGAGCTACACGCCCGCCTCGCCCTCATCAAACACACCGCTGAGAAGGTACCGCACATTCACCTCAGCTCACAAATTACCCAGTTTCCCCAAGTGACAACACATTCTGATGCTAGTGTCCATTAGAGAGCACTATAACCGTTCAACTGACCACTGCAGTAAAACACTCCACATTAAAGAGGCTTATTAGGGTATATACACTTGTGAATTAAACTAAAAATAAGTGCAAGTGTATATTATATACATGTATGTAATGATTACGTGAATTTTTCAATTATATAAACCAGAAAATCCTCATTTAAATGTGAATCCCGAACATAAAGCAACATTTCTGTTCAGTAAAAAAAATAAATATTGCAATATGCAATAAATTAATTAATTAAAACAAAAATACTAATAAAATGACAAATCTGACACGTTTACCAAAATAAAAACAAAGCAACAGTTAAAAAAAAAAAAATCCAAATATGCAATAAGTCGACAGATAGCATCATAATAACAAACCAGAACAATCTTCATATAAAAGCCAAAGTAAAACCAAGTTCCTGAACGACTCCAGTGAAAAATCAAAGTAATACAAAAATAGTCCCCAAAAAGCTAATATTCCAATATGCTTTAAAAAAACAAAAAAAAAAAGTTCTGACTACATTTCCTATTAATATTGGAGCCAATAACCCATGTGCATTGCATGGTATATAAACATTAAGTGCAATATAAGCTCAAGAGTATATTATATGCGACCCTGGACCACAAAACCGGTCTTAAGTGTCAATTTTTCAAAATTGAGATTTATACATAATCTTAAAGTTGAATAAATAATGATGTGTGGTTTGTTAGGATAGGACAATATTTAGCCGAGATACAACTATTTGAAAATCTGGAATCTGAGGGTGCAAAAAAATCTAAATATTGAGAAAATCATCTTTAAAGTTGTCCAAATGAAGTTCTTAGCGATGCATATTACTAATCAGAAATGAAGTTTTAATATATTTACAGTAGGAAATTTACAAAATATCTTCATGGAACATGATCTTTACTTAATATTCTAATGATTTTTGGCATAAAATAAAAATCAATAATTTTGACCCACACAATGTATTTTTGGCTATTGCTACAAATATACCCCAGCGACTTAACACTGCTTTTGTGCTCCAGGCTCACATATTCATATATGCAACGATTAAGTGAATAATTCAATGTATACATAAACAAACAAACAATAATTCTCATATATGCCAAAGAAATGCCAACAGTTCCTGAACAACTCCAGTCAAAAAATCTAAATAATGCAACAATTCAGCAAAAAATCCAATATGTCAATATTAATTCAATATTAAAATAAATAACTTAAAAAATAATAAAAATAAGATCTGATCGCAGTTTTGAATGTCTCCAGTGAAAAATCTAAATAAGCATCAATTCAGTTCAGCAAGCACAGCCAAATAAATACATAAAAAGGAAAGATCTCACCATATTTCCCATCGATGTTGAAGCCAATAATCCTATGGTGTAAAAATCCAAAAGGCAAACAGTAGATCAGAAGAAGATGCAGTCAATCCAGTTTAAATGCCGTTTACAATCCACTTCAACATAAAAATGAAGTCAATTAGAGCAGGTGTAACGCCTATAAAACACTGAGCATCAAACAACCACAACAAACTTTCCACGAATTAAAAATGGCCGCCTTCAGTTCATCGGGGAATGACTGTTGACTGACGAGGCTCATCACACTCCCTAGTGGCTGGAGTGTGTGATTATCATGAGACTCACAGCAGGTGATCCGATGAAATCCTGCCCTCTGCAGTCTGACATTAAATGGCACTGAGGAACGATATTGTTCGAATCACTTTTGAAATGATTTTTTCCAGCTGATGAATGATAAAAACACTGACAGCCGTTCAGAATCCATCCTGCATTAAAGCGTTAGACAACAAAACTTCAGCACGCTTAAAATAAACAGAACGTTATCGCTCTTTGGTGTAATGCGAATATAATTATCGTTCTTGGGGTGGATCGGCCTTAAAAGTCGAATACACGTTTGTTGAAATAAGATCGCATAGAGAATCGCACAAATACAGACTGTTGTAATAGACTGATTTAAGCCTAAGTTATGCTTCTTTTTTTTCACTGCTTACCCTGCTTCACTGCTTTTTCACAGTAATTGTGAGCCCATGCAAAATATCGTCCGCTAATTGGTCGCAGCTAGTAACCTGACTACCTCCGATATTGTCAAACCGAGCATTGATTTCCAGTCTGTAGGACCATTATTTTACTTGTATTATTTTAGGATGTGGCCACGCCCACGACTCCTTCCAATCACGTGACTGATCTGAACCCAGTGCGAAATCTGCGTGAGAAATCTTACGCCCTTGCACCAAATTCACAGATTCCTATTGGAATGACTGGATTTCACCCACAAAAAAAATCACCTAACAGTAAATGTGACCGCACTTTTACACATAATTCTTTAATAAGCTTTAAATAGCATTATATCATTATACACACAACATGAAATACTGCCTATTTTTTTATTTTCTTAAGATTTTTCTTTTAAATATTAAAAATATGAACAGATCCACGACGTTCTAATTTATTGAGATGCACCTGTGTGTGTATATATATATATATATATAGTGCTTCATTACAAACACAGAAATTGCATTTTAAAGTAACATTAACAGCTGACAAAATTTAAGCACAAAGCACCTTTGGAATATTTGTCATTGCAATAACTCAAATGAAAGACAAAAAAAAAAAAAAGATGGGCAGGGATTATATTTGGGTTTTTCTTCCATTTGTGATTCAAGTCAGTTTTTTTTATGGCCCCATTAGTAGAATTAGTAGTAGTTAAAATGTTTTTAATATATCTGACAAATGATCAGTGTATTAAAGTACCTCTAAAAATGCATGTTAAAATCCACAGTAATTGTAGAGAGCTGCATAAACCACTAAAATCATTAGGAAGTCCTATAATACTTCAACAACTTCCTTTTGAGGTAATGCTTCACCGTTATTGCCTCAGAGCAACTATTTCCCTAAATCAGTGGTTCTCAAACTGGGGTAAGCGTACCCCTGGGTGTACATGAGGTGACGGAGGGGGTACGCGAACAAAATTCTGAGTTTTGGCATTCATTTAATTCTACCCCAACTTACAGTAACATTAAAACCGAACATGTCTTTCTGACGAGCAAAATGCTGCTTCTAATGTAAAAACAGGAAAATGGGAGTGCCATAAACGGTCAAATACATGATATCCAATCAGCTTACCTCATCTTTTGTGGTCAAAACTGACTGCATCCACACAAGCAGCATGCAAGTGATAGGATGCCCGCTGAATATGCTGCTTTTGCAAATTGTGCTGCTGTTCAATGTATCTTCAAAGTAAACCTTCACTTAAAGGGACAGTTTACCCAAAAATGAAAATGTGATGTTTATCTGCTTACCCCCAGGGCATCCAAGATGTAGGTGACTTAAGTTTCTTCAGTAGAACACAAACGAAGATTTTTAACTTAAACTGTTGCAGTCTATCAGTCATATAATGTAAGTGGATGGGAATCACAGCTTTGAGAGTAAAAAAAAACATACACAAACACAACCAAATTAAACCCTGCGGCTCGTGACGATACATTGATGTGTAAAGACATACAACGATCGGTCTGTGCAAGAAACTGAACAGTATTTATATTGTTTTTTACCTCTGATTTTCACCAAACTGTCCTGAGCGAGTTCTCAACAGCCGGCGCGTGAGGCATTTTCTTCTTCTTGCTTTACGGCGGATTGCAGACTTATAAGTGCATTACCGCCACCTATCTCTCAAATGGACCATTGACACTCTATCTACAATCTCAATTAGGAGTGTCAGTGGTCGACTTGATAGGTGGCGGTAATGCACTTATAAGTCTGCGATCTGCCGTAAAGCAAAAAGAAGACGCGTCACGTGCCGGCTGAAGACGACGACGAGAGCGCGCTCAGGACAGACAGTTCGGACATTGCGGTGAAAATAAGAGGTAAAAAACGATATACTGTTCAGTTTCTTGCACAGACCGATCGTTTCATGTCTTTACACATCAATGCATCTTCACGAGCCGCAGGGTCTAATTTGGTTTTGTTTGTGTATGTTTTATGACTCTCAAAGCCGTGATTCCCATCCACTGACATTATATGACTGACAGACTGCAACGGTTTGAGTTAAAAATCTTAATTTGTGTTCTACTGAAGAAACAAATTCACCTACATCTTGGATGCCCTGAGGGTAAGCAGATAAACATCACATTTTCATTTTTGGGTGAACTATCCCTTTAATAGGATGAAGAGCAAATATTGACAGACTCTACATTGAGATCGATATAAACTCTCTTCGATACGGACACATATCCTGTGCGAGTTGTTTTCATGTTTCTCGTTTAAAAATTAGCAAGAATCCAAATTTCCCTGATTATCGAAACGATGGCAAATGTGACATTTACACAAGTTCACCCAAAAAAAAAAAAAAATTTAAGTGAACATTTAACGTTTTATCTGTAATAATATCTGTAGCCAGAATATTGTCATGTTTGTTATATTTTGTAACGAAACAATTCCAATGAAATCCATATATCTGGTGTGTGTCTCCAAGCAACATACAGCGGTGTTTCATTAGTGAACGAATATGCAGCTTTGAACAATTCGGAGTCAGTGATTAATAACCCATTCATAACTACAGCATTTTGCTTTGTTACAGAATGAATGACAACGCCTGGCTCATTAGGACAGTGACTTGCCATCACCTATTGGCGGTTTTATTTTTAAGTCCACAAGTAGGCTATCACTTCGATTTGACATTTACTGCTTTAATACACTTAATGGAATGTTAAGAATTATATAAAACAAAGATACAAATAAGCATAGACAATCTTTGCCTCTGAAAGGTAGAAAAATGCACCTGTAAATCAATGTAATACAAAAAGGTAACTGCAGTCTAAGTGGAAGACAGGGGGTACGCAGAATAATGTTAAATGCCCCAGGGGGTACGCCACTAAAAAGTTTGAGAATCACTGCCCTAAATAGGCAACGTCCCAACCGTTCTAATGGTTTCTGCTCATTTCTCTAACAGGACAAAGACTTCCTGCAGGAGGAGCAGTACTTCCTGGACACGCTGAAGAAAACCTCATACAATTCCGTCTTCAACACATGACCACACAGAGATGGGAATCATTTTGATACGTTTTATTTAATAAACATTGTAAAAAGACACTTTATGATTTGACGTCAATCTCCAGCATTCATCAGTCACTGTGGAGCATTTCTGCAAGAAAGTAAAAATGAGTCACTTAAGTGAAAAAATAAAAAAAAATGTAAAAGTGCAAATATTGATGAAACAAGCCTCAGAATACCAAAACTCCACACGTGTTTTCAGACAGGGATAACTTCTCTCATCACAGGCTTGAATGGATAAACTGTCTAAACTGATCTTGGGTCAGATTGTTCCTTTATAAAGACACTATTCTGACCTAAACAGAACTAAATTACATTTAAGACTGAATTTATAGTAAAACAATATATACACGTACAGCTCTCCATCCAGGTGAATCAGGAGACTTCATGGTGGTTTCCGCTCGATCTATACAGAGAAAACATGCATCAGATGGGTTTAGACAAAAGGTCTTGGACGCAGATTCATCTCAGGAAGACGCAGCCAAACACGAGTCTTGGAGAGAGCTTTACCTGATCAGTGCTGAAGCAGCGTTCAGAAGCAGAAGCTCACCTGTGGAGAAGAACAACATGTGATCAGACACCTGCGGTCTCCAGAAGAGTGAAACATCTCGCATCTGCACGTTGTGTCTCAGGCTGATTTTGCTTCGCCATCGTCAGTTATCGCATCAGACGGCACTTCCTACATAGCAGCTTCATCACAGAACACAACTCAATGATCAACACCTCAAACACCACCTTTCCTCCAGGTACGGAAAAACACTTGGAAATCTCCTAGATCAATTAAGCAATAAACTACATATAAATATAGAAAAACGCAACAAATACAGTAACAAAAAAAACAATTTTGTAAAGCCCACCATTTCTGTGAACTGCGCGTAATGATCACACAGTAAACCATCCAGCAGATAATCACGATCTAGTCGCATTATATCCAGCCTGCAGAGACAAAGGAGAACACGTTAACCACCATGTGCTTAACATAAGTCCGAGAATTAAAGCAGCTTTAATCACCAGTCTTACATTCATCACGGTGGTGGTCTGGAGGCGCTGCGATCGGCTCCTCGCGTATAATTCGCTATGCACATGTTTTAATCGCGTTAAGATCGCTTATGCGTCAGAAGACGTGCGAACATCCACGTGTCGCGCAGGGAAAGAGAGCGAGGAGCAGCGAGCGGCCGCTTTTATAGCGCTGGAACCCACGTGACTAGGGGTGTGTGCCATTCGGTAGCGATCATCCCTGCGCCCTATTCCCTTCGAAGTTCAGTTTTGGAGGGTTGAAAGGTGTAGCGTTCGAAATAACGCTCATTCGGAACTCACTTATTAATGCACGTGTATTGAGTTCTGTTTGGAAGGATCCTACAGCGTATCTATCGTTAATGTTTCCGCTTCAAGTGCCCTACGAAGGCAGCTTTCATGAGTTTGGCGCGCTGGGAATGTCATGTGGAAACCGTAAGGCGCTCTGGGAAAGTGACGCGTTTTACAAAATAAAAGGTAATAAAATAATTAATTGAATATTTAAATAAATAAAAAAAACATAAAAATCACATTATTGCTACTTAATTGTAATTAGAATTTTAAATATGTAATCGTATAATTGTGAAAAAATGTGATTCATTTATCCGCTGCACAATTTAACATGTTTTTGCCCCCTATTTAGATTTACAAAATAAAGGTCATTAAAACAACTGAACAGACAAAATAATGAAAGTCACATAACTACTGCAATTTATATCTATCTATCTATCTATCTATCTATCTATCTATCTATCTATCTATCTATCTATCTATCTATCATCTATCTATCTGTCTGTCTATCTATCTATCTATCTATCTATCTATCTATCTATCATCTATCTATCTGTCTGTCTATCTATAATCTATCTATCTATCTGTCTATCTATAATCTATCTGTCTATCTGTCTGTCTATCTATCTATAATATATCTATCTGTCTATCTATCTATCCATCTATCTATCTATCTATCTATTTATCTGTCTGTCTGTCTGTCTATCTATCTATCTATAATCTATCTGTCTGTCTGTCTATCTATCTATCTATCTATCTATCTATCTATAATCTATCTGTCTGTCTGTCTGTCTGTCTGTCTATCTATCTATCTATCTATCTATCTAT